CATTCGACAGAGGTGTCCATCCCCGTGCATCTGATGTCGAACCCATTCGACAGGCGAATAGCAAAACAACACCCCAAAATAAAACTCGCCATATCTATTTACCAAGAAGGCTTTGCGTAACATTTAAATTACGTATGACATGCATAAATGCTCAGCTTGCTCAATATCAAAACGTTCAGTCATTTATTTACCTCAAAAAGAAAATATCGCGAGTTAAAAATGTTTCGGCCAAACTTCTCGGCACACAACTACCAGAAACGGCCATTGTTGACTTTTGGCACTTCACGTTGAGCGGCATGCAGTCCGATATTTTCTTTATAATTTCATCATTTTTCCTATTCGATCATAATTTTTTGTTTGCTGACGAAAGGAAAACACTCATGTTCCTTAATTTCTAAAAATTAGCAACTTTCGGTGTCACTAATTGTAAACAAAAACAATCTGAATCGTAACATCATCGATTGGATGAAACTTGTACTATCATGGCAACGGCGGTAAACAAACAACTCCACATGCATAGTTATCCCGTTAGACTATTACAATCATTTTGTTACATCTAACTTAATTTTCTAGAATTATTGACAAGTATGTATAAATCTTTGTAAAAAGAATTTCATTTTTAAAGAGTTTGGAAATGATTTCGTTTGATAAACTTCCCGACACATTGACAAGCCGACAAACAGCTGACAAACGTCAGTGATACGTTTTGGCGTGGCCTAACTCGCGATTTGTTGAGTTGAACAAAGTCAACAAACACTGCGAAAAATGACAAATATTGGATGATACGCAAAATCTGAACTGATATACATTCTAGGTAAACCATTCAATAGCAAAATAATGCATTTTACAAGAAATAATCAAAATACTTGCAATTTTAGCTATCATTTCTGAAACCGGAAGCACGTACCGCATGTGACACATGGAAGCAAAATATGCAAAAGTTGGTAAGCTATCATAAAGAAATTCCGAAATAGATTCAAATTCAAAAGAAAATACATAATTTACTATTTTTCGTCAACTCTGTACTATTTATTGATCTGGAGAGCAGTCTTTACTCCTATTTGTTTCATATTTCTTCGTGATTGTCGCCATCAAATGTGTAAGTCTAAATCCGAAACCGTAATGGATTTCACGCTCGATGATTTTAATTTTAAAATATTTTCTAAAAACGAACGCAACGGAGAGCGATACAACGTATTGATATGCCATAATAATAACATAATATAGGTCTAACATTACAAAAAGATCAATTTTATTAAAGATGTTGTTGAAAACTTTCTGAGAACCTCCCGTCCTCTGAACCGATAAAATTTTGGTACACAACGAGGTAGGCTAGTGTAAATATATATAGATTCTAGGCTCCTATATATGTGATTTTGTACCCAAAACAAATTAAATAGTACCCAAAATACTTTGTGAATTTGTACCTAAGAAAATAAGAAAATAGATCTATAATTATATTTATGTTTTCATGTAGATGAACAGAACACACAATAAAATATTTCATCAAGTTCCAAATATGATTATGACTGTGATCCTTGAAATTGATTGTTTAGTTTTGAGAGAAAATTGACGTCTTGTCACTGAAGGAGAGGCCAGTTAAGTTGGTTAAACCTAAGTTAGAATGAATTGTTTTGATAGGAAAGTGATATGTTAAGTTTAAGACACCAAATTAATGTATATCTTTGAAATAATTCTAGGTAGATCTACAAAATCACATACCCATTTGGGTAACAAATTACTTGAAATTTTGGGTATAAAAGTTACCACTGTACATTTCAACTGATTTTCGTGAATCAATGGGATAAAAAAAATTCGTCTGAATGATTCCTTTTCTCATTTTTTAAGACAAGAATTTGTTTTACATAACAAAACAGGCAGATCTACACGGATCACGTTTAGTCCTAAAAATGTTTAAAATATGGACACCTCAGAAATGAGGGCTTATAAGGTTATAATTCTACCTAACTAGTCACATGGTTTGACTTAGATCTAGGTCTATCTAAGAAAAGTCCTTATGAAAATCTTTTTTTAATTTTTTTATGACACTGACATTTCTGGCACTTAGACAAAGAGTATTCAAGGAAAGACAGATATGTTTTTGAATGAAAATATGACTTCTCTTTATAATTCTTTTTTCATGATGACAGGGGAACTTTTATACACACCAGCTGAGGAAGTTGTGATACTGTGATTGCATACAAAGAAAAAACAGGTTTGAAGCAGTACCTGTATGTATAAAATAGACCACATAAGGTGAACAAAAGTAATGGATTGGCTGACTGGAAAAAATACATCTGGCAAGGGTAAACATGTACACAGGCATGTTTCTTTTCATTCCAACCAGAAGACTGAGATAGCATTTTCTAAGAAACCTATGGCAAACTTACCAGCTCATGTGCCACCATGGTTCTTGTGATTAAACAAACAAAAATGTCATGTACTGTTACAAGTACTGTTACTGTAATTAAATTAAATTAATTCCTATTAAATTTTATTTCAGAAGTTTTATTTGGAAACAAACCACATAATGCACAAGATTAATGTCCATATGAGTTTAGTATGTATATGTTAAGGATCTGATTTATTCATTATTCATAGAATACTAAAATTAAAATGATGACATCAGAGAGTTACTTATTCACATAGTTGATTTTCAGAGTGCAAGATAATAATTGTTGAATAATATGTTTAAACTAAAGATAATAATTGAAGTTTGATCAGTTACACTGTACTGATGCAAAGACTAATATTTACTGTCCCCACACACCATCATTGTGGGAAAAATAACTATTAAATATAACTTAAAATTTTAAAACCTGTAAACAGCTGTAAATAATTAAACAATTACAAATCTATCATCAATACGCCATCATGGTGGTCTTCATATTTTTGGAATAAGTTTAGAAATCCTTTGTGTAACTGTTCTAAAATCATGCTAGAATCTATGAATGTATTCCCGAAAGGAAAACTATCCTAAATGTAATGTGGAACTAACACCGAAAATATGTACGTAGCATTTTATTGCTTATATATACCCTATCATATTCAGCAACGCGGGGATGTTATTTTGAAACACGTTTTGTCAAGCCCATTTTCGCGCACCTGTTGAAGAGGGTGATCTTGCTGATCGACGATATCCATAGACGTATTACGTGGGATACACTTGTTGTAGTGAAACTTATCAGCGTGTACATCGCAGAAATATGAATCATGCCCCATTTATATTCACAACATTGAATGGTGAATCTTAAATATCAACAGAAGTTCAAATAAAAGATACCGAGAAACTTGCATGTGGCATGTTGATTTATCGTCTACCGTTTCCGGGTCACGGGAGCATGCAAGGTCAAACGGATTAACTAATACGTGAATTATATCGTCAAAGTCACATTTTTATTTCATGTTAGTGGCGATTACTGATACTGTGTATCGACTTATGTTTTTGCTGTATGTGATAGGCGAACTATTTCAAAATTTACTGTAATTGTTTTGTTTCGAAAGCTTATCAGCAGACTACCCCTGTCTGTGACATCACATCCGGTGACCTATGCACTTATTGAAATAGTGCTGTCAGAATTCACGATCTTTATTTTCACTTTTCTCTCTTTATTGGAATATGACGAATAAAACATTCTTCGATTGAGAGGATCGTCAACTTTCGCCAAGTTATATTTATAAAGGCAATGTAAACTTTGCTGATAAAAAAACCCTGAATCTTTACTCAATTAAAATTAAGATATCGGAGATATGATTATTGAAATCAATTTGCACAAATGTTACGATATTAAAAGGTTCCTAGCATGAAATGCAAACCACCTTCAATAACGCAATTCAGGTAAGTTCAAGAAAATTTACAAATTTTGTGTTCACTTTGGTCTTAACCTTGGTATGATTGAAAACATCGGGATATTTTTATATAGTACTGTGTAGTTTTCTATCAGGAATAAATGTGCAAAATATTTCTTCAATTGGCCCTTGTTTAATGAGGCACCGACTGTTTGAAATCACCCACCCTCTTTAGAGCGCCTTATGCTAAAATTAATCCAGCAGGCAGGGGTAAGAAGTGTGAAAATAATTCAGCAGGCTAAAGGTTAACATACACTTTTAACCTCCTGACAGCGAAATGGATAGAACTCTGATGTTAAATATAAATATCTGAGGTTTTCTTTTGACACCTTTTTTTCATAATGCCATGATTTTCTTGGAACGGATTTCCGCACTAACAAATAAGCTTTTTAAAATGCCAACCTGGTTTAAATACTAATTCCAATGGGTTTTTTTTTCGGAATATATGTCCTAATTCCCTATCTGTAATGCCAAGTGTTGGAAGTAACGTTCATCAATATGTATCATATTCGTTCTTCTCTTAGGTGCATTGATCTCAGATGTGTTCACAGTTAACCTGTTTTAATCTTTGTTAACAAAATACAGCTAAAATGACTGGAGCTTTCTTTGCTAATTGCTTCAATTTCTTTGACAAGAAGTGACTGGCATGTTGTTATTGTTAGACAATGCCCAAAGCCACATTATCTCTGAGGACGTGCCAAATGTCAACATCCATTGTCTCCTACCTACAACAACAAATCACCTTCAAGTCGCATTGACGCCAGCTCCAGCTCAGTCACTTGATAGATTCTATTGACAAGAAAGTGTCCCCATGTCCTCCTGAGATGTGTTTGATGTTGATGAAAATGACATCAGCATTCTATCAACAATTTCGTCAAAACGGTCCAGTGAAATAGCAAATTATTAATTACACTATATCATACTCATGTGCAGTGTATAACATGGATTCAAGTCGGCTGGAACTAAATGCCTTATTCATATGAGAAATCATAGAGCCATACATCGCTGCTCGCATCTATATTTACAATGTTGATATTATTATTTGTCTAAGGCTATAGGTGCAATATAGTGGCATCTCTAGATGTTTCCAGTCTTCATTGTGCATATAAAATAACCAGCTAACTACAGCGACCGAGCGTTCATATACTCACCATGGACTAGAGATGAGACAGGTGTGGTAGATTGGTGTGGTAGATTGGTGTGGTAGACGGGTGTGGTAGACGGGTGTGGTAGACGGGTGTGGCAGACAGGTGAGGCAGGTCGGTGTGGTAGACGGGTGCAGTCTACAGCTGAGGCGAGACCACCTGTGCACGTCCAGATGTGATCAGATGTCATTTCATACACACCAGGAACAAATATTTTGGAATTGAATTGATCACAGGGCTGTTCCATAAAGGGAAAGAAAGGCTGGGAGTCCTGAATGTCTGGAACCGCCTCCCTGGTCTAATGGTAGAGCGTCCGCCCGGAGAGCAGAAGGTCCGGGGTTCGATCCCCGGCCGCGTCATACCAAAAGACGTTAAAAGATGGTACTTGTTGTTACCCTGTCTGGCGCTCGGCATTAAGGGGCTAAAACAAGGACTGGTGGGCTCGGAGTCAGTATACTGTGTCTGAGTGGGGTATTCATGTTAAACTGCGGCATCTCAGTGAGCTAGCACTATAAATCGGCATCAGTCCGGACTAGTACAAGCAGCCACACAAACACACACACGTACATGTACGTCGCTATATAAGTGCAATATTCTTGGACGCGACGTTAAACCCCATTTCACCTCACCTCACCTGAATGTCTGGAGAAAGTTGTTTGGAACAGTCTGTCATAAGTGAACCTCATACTTTCAAAACCATCAAATAAGTGCAGTATGAAACTCACCTTGTCACTTAGCTCTGTTCAACATCCATCCTAGTGGTAGACTGATACTGCCAACATCCTACCACAGCACCGTACATGATGAGGAATATCCACCTTTAACTCCGAGTATCAAGAATACTAACTGAAATATTTTGTTGAGTGTAACCAACCAAATGTAATGTTGATACTTCTTCAGACATACTAGTGAGATCTGACACTCTCAACGAGAAAGGATTCTCTGTTTCAAAGTCATTCAAACAATTCCCTGACAAAAGACACTCTCCAAAAACTACCTGATAAGATGCTTTTGAATACAACCGGATCATCGTTCAACTAGAAGGTGTTAGTGGGTGTTTCAAGTATGAGCCATGAAACATAAAACACCCATCAACACCTCAAAGCTGCCGAGTCATCAGGAGGTACACATGGACACCATCAGAGACTTGGAAATGGACGATCGTCACACCCAAAACAAGATCCTGATAACACCAGCATGCAAAGTTGTAATCTTTGTATCATGCTGGATATGAGTTGATTTCAGAACCACATTATATATCTCAGTGATAGGATACATGGCTATGGAGTATAACAGAGGATGTCAATTCCTGCACATGAGGCGGTGTTATTGGCAGGTGTTGGAGAAGGTAGCCACACCTGAGGAAGAAACAATATTTTGTTAATTTCAATGACTTATAAACAAACACAACGATCAATGCACATGTGTAAGGCCCTTTTTGAAGTTGTTGATAGTCGACGAAACGAGTTTCGGGAATGCATGCACCAGTATGACAGCTGTTGAAGTGAGATATAGAGCAGAAATGAAATCTTGATTCCATATGACGGGGAACATGTTTGCCCTAAACTAATAATTCTTATAATATAAATGATTTGTTTATCTTCAGTTTTATTTACTGCATCTGGACAGGTACCAGGTTGATGTGGACGCTGACGGTGAAGGAGGAATTTCAGTTTCACTACTTGACTACTGATGGTGAGACCAATGGAAGCTGGAGGCTGAGGCTGAGGCTAGTTGAAACTGAGGATGGATGGCAACTGAGGCTGGTGACATATTGCTGCTTTTTCAGACGAATGCGACCTGGTCCCTCGTTATGACACCTGAAGTGGTAAGAAGATATTCATTAACACATGTAGAACCAGGGAGGAAACATCTATTCCTTGACCAACATATACACTTATCTACTTCAAGAATCTACCAACAACAACTTCGGAAACATATTAATCTTGTCTGTAAATCTTAAAAATGTCATAACTTAAAGCAAAAATACAAACGACTGCTTGATAATTAAGGGCATATTTCAGCACATTTTAAATAAAAAAGCTCTTCAATGAATTACCGTATTACACTCGTGCTTAGAGTTTACTATTTGTTAGGCTTTCAAATCTTGCAAAATCCACAGATTCACTGTTCCCAGCAGTATATATCATCAACAGGTTAATACCAGTAGTTTGAAAATGTCTATATTGAGAAATATACTCTTCAAACACAAATCTCATATCAAATCGAACCTTTTCTTTCGAGGAAAATCCATGTTAGACCGTTTCCATGTATTTTGCTTGTGACCAGAGAGTGAGTGAGTTGGGTTTAACGCTGCTTTTAACAGTATTCCAGTTATATCACGGCGTGTCAGCTTAATGTAGGAGCCTGAAGTGATGCAGGTCTCAGACCTTTACCACTTCGGTGACACCCACGAGCACTGGCATGGTGCTGACAAACCTAGAAACATAATCGGGGCGAACCGGGATTCGAACCTAAGGGACGCAACTCTGCACAGCGAATCACGGCCCCTTAGACGACTGGGACACACATCCCCCTTGTGACCAGGGAACTCCTGGAACACTGTAAACTATGTGGAGTGAGTGAGTTTGCTTCAGTGTCAAACAGTATTTAAATTAATTCATGATAAAATATGTCAAGGCATTTTCTTTGTGGACATAGAACAGCTTGATGCTGGAGGAAAGCCAGCTGTGATGCAGGTCTCAGACTTTACCACTTTGGTGAGCAAAGGGTATGGCGCTGATAAATCTAGAAAGATGATCGGGACGTACCAGAATTCGAACACAAGCTCAAAGGTATCTGGGACGTCTGAAGGTGGCAGAGTTACCATTGCGTGTATGCTGTGAGGGAGTGAATGCTGCAGAATGCCGCAGTTAGCTATATTACAGCTAATATTTGACTGACAACCACACAATGGTCGATAGGATGTTAGAATGATCAATGCGGGCACATTCACACATGGTGACTGGTTCGTATTTTACTCAACAACTAGAATAAGGTACAGGGTTAAATATTTTGCCATGGGTCACTGAGATCATATATGAGAGGGTAATACCCCCATTCCACTAGGCGGAGATCCACGGTGATCTACGCGATCTGAAGGAGCGCCATAGATCGCCATATAATGAGGCGGTATAGGGGTACTTCTTGAAGAAGAAGGAGAAGGAAGGCTTTTTGGGTGAGACATTGGAGCGCCACAGAGCGCCACAGGGTGGCGCTCCAAATCGTGAACCAAACAGTGAAGCACAATCAGAGCGCCATCGGAACGCAATCGGAGCGCAAATGCATCTCCGAGGAGCGCCATGAAGCGCCGAAGATTGGTAGGCCAGATTTTGTGGCGATCGGCAGCGCTCTATGGTGATCCGATAGCGCTCCGATTGCGACCTTGGCGATCAAGTAGCGCTCCGATGGCGATCTAGGCATTCAATTGGCGATCTGATGGCGCTCTGGGCGGAGCGCCACGGATCTTTGTGCAGGGGAGTCAACCGGCGGCGACCTTGGCGATCATGGAGATCAGTTAGCAATCTGTTAGCGATTCGTTAGCGCTTTTGGCGATCTTGGCGCTCTATATGGCGCTCTCACGGATCGCCGCCTAGTGGAATGGGGGTATACGTGGCTAAAACGTTGGTTTGTCACACAAAGACCCGGGTTTGATTCCCCACATGGGTACAATGAGTGAATTCGAGCCTATATTCCAGTGTCCACCGCCATATTATTGATTCGAAACAGCTGCCAGAAGTTAGTGAACAGCAAATTTACTATCCTGCCTATATTAACAATATATCCATGTTGTTCATTTTGTGGAGAGTGAGCGAGTTGGGCCAAATATGTCCGAGTATATCAGTACAACATCCTAGTCTAGATTTAGATGTTGCAATCTTAAACGTGCTGTTGTAACGGGTAGATATGAAAATATCATTTATAATGAGTGAGGTGAGGTGAAATGGGGTTTAACGTAGCATTCAAGATTATTGCATTTATATAGCGACGTGCATGCACGTGTGTGTGTGTGTGTGGCTGCTTGTACTAGTCTGGACTGATGCTGATTTTACAGTGCTAGTTCACTGAGAAACCATGCCCCAGTTTAACACCACTCAAGACAGTACACTGACTGAGCCGACCTTGTTTCATCCCCTCAGAGCTCCTGATAAGCTTTTGGTGTTGTGGGTATTTTACCCATGCATTTTAAAATCATTGTGTATCAGTAATTCTATTTTGGTATTCAAATTTCTGTTACCCACTAGTTTTTACACATGTGGGTATTAAAGTTAAATATTTAAAAACACTATTCATCTAGTCCCTGCAATCTGGTTTCGTGTGGGTTCGAGAGCTTTATAGGACTCAAAAATACCACGATACTTCCACAAGAAAGTGTGATTACAAATGATCATGATGTAACTGTCATTGTGGAGTTTGGCAAGGTTGACGGAATGCCCGTTTATATTTTCAAAATAAGTTGCTGATTTGTTAATCGAATACGCAGGGTTACTTCAAAATATTTTGATGATACCAACAAGTTTTATTTTTGTAGCGTATCTGTAATGTTCGTTGCGTATTCGCTCGGATTTTATTTTACTGCATATTCCTGCATTTCTGATGCATATTTTATGCAGATACGCAGCTTATCTGGAGCTCTGATCCCCTTAATGCCGAACGCCAGCAATGGAAACAACAAATACCATCTTTTAACATCTTTTGGTATGTCGCAGCAAGGGATGGAGAACCAGACCTTCTGCTCATCTCGCAGATGCTCTACCACTAGACCACGGAGGTGGTCCTCATTTACAATGAAAGATGTGCTATGTCATGCAAGCTTTAAAGCTATTTTGCTGTTGCACATCTTCTGTGAGGAACAAGTTCAACAAAATATTTTAGAGGTAAAAGTATTAATTGAATGATATTTACTGTCATTCAGAGTAAGAGCACTGATATTACAAGAAGAGTCTGTACAGTAAACTACGGTTATAATGAACTCAAAGGGACCACAAAGATTAGTTTGTTATAACCGCAGTTTGTTTAAAAGCATTGATACAGCATATACACAGCCAATGGACGAGAACAAAAAGCACTTTGTTATATCCGTCAGTTCGTTATAAGCGTGTTCGTTATAACATAGTTTACTGTATTTCTTTACCCAATTGTAAATCTGACATAAAATGGTCATGCATGATCATGCGTTTGTATGTATTCTGGGACGAAGGATTTTGTCCTGTAAAATTGTCGACAGGGCTGCATGTGACTGAAATACATCAAACCACAGGTAGGTAGATCGGTAGTTACTCGATATTTCAACAGCAACAGTTAATTAAACTTTATATCTTGTTTCAACAGGCCAAAGACATTTTTCTCTAGCATATCCAATGAGGTCAACTGACAAGATTGTATTTGAGAATGAGTGTGTGAGTTGGTGTTAACGCAGCTTTGAACAGTATTCCACTTATATCACGGCATGTCAGCTTAGTGTGGGAGGAAAGCCTGAAGTGATGCAGGTTTCGTTGGGTGAAACCCACAAGCATTGCACTGAGAAACCTAGAAACATGGCAAAACTTGTTCCATAAAAGGGATAACTCATGAATATTAATGACCCCATGACCTAGTTTTGCTATGTTTGTACAAGTGAGTTCTGCTGTAGTTTCTACACATTTGTATATTAAAAGTCACAATACTCATTTTAAATAGACAAAATAGTAGTTTGTGATTTAGATTTTTGACGTAGTACATATTCTCTACAACAAGTACGTTTAGTTTCGAATGTGGGCCCACCTCAAACCTTCGATTAGGCAAGCAGAGTTAGCTCCCTTCTCAAACCACCGATAATGAGGTTTCGCCAGAAACATAATCATTGAGAACCGGAATTCAAACACTCGTTTATAGGTTTCTGGCATGCCAAAGACACTCTACACAGCGAATTGCGGGGCCTTGGACGACAGGGCCACCTACGTCCTCGTATGTGACAATGGAGCAGCCTAACGTACTATTGTCCGATTATTTCATGAACTGATGACAGCGCATTAGGAGTGACTATAGTAGTTGCATCAAGGCTAAATGCAAGTCAGTACTGGACAAACCAGTACTTCTACAATTGTTGAGGACGGAAGTCTGTATTAACATGAAATCTCAATAAATAACAAACGATTAATATAAAAAATCTCACCGAAGTCCTTTGCGCTTTGTCTAAAATTTGTATCAGATCCTGGTAAGGCTGTAGCTGCTGCTGTTGTAGCTGCCTCTGAGCGAGTCTCTGGTGTTCTGCTGCCATTG